GCTAGAAGAACACATAAACACACACACGCACACACGTTAATCGAGTCAGGAAGAGAGCAGTCTGCTTGGATGCGACAGTTTAACACCTCATTTGTGCATATCGTGGACTCTGCTAGGCAAACTGCAAAGCTCACTGCATTAAGCAGAAGATCAAAAACCTCTTAAGATTCCATCTAACTAAATATCTTGCATACCTGGACGTTCACATTTAATTAATTTATGCTCCAATGCCTTTGGCATATGGGGAAGTCGGGCTTTCCAGCTGGAGATCGGAGACAGGAAGAAGTTGAGGAATTGCCTGCAAAGGCCAGCCCCCAGATAACACTGACTCTTCTGGGCAACGCTCTCATTTTGCTTAAGGAGTGCTTGAGCATAGCATAGACCATTGCAGTGACTTCCACTGCTGCGTGGTTTTGTGGCCTTCACCTTTCGCTGTGCTGGAAACAGGTTGTCCCAGGGGTATTATTAATTGTTGCCATGATATTGTTTTATACGTACCTAGTGTAAAGGGTGTCAGAGATCGGCTATTCTCATACACGAGGCGTGTGTTTTTGCCTCAGCTGCTGGTTTGGTGGCTGCAGCACAGGCTGGTGATCACAGTGGACTCCAGTGACATAAAACAAAGCAGAAAAACATCTGGCCAGACCCTCAAATTGTCATTCTGAACGTGCTCTTCACAGAAGGCAAATCAGGGACTCTAGCATTTATGGCTAGGGAACAAACATTGTAACGCTGGGTCTGCAAGAGATACGCGGCTTGTTGCATCACTGGAATAATGACAGGCTTCACTTGACAGCCCTGTTATTGTGGTTGGGTTTCAGTTTTGTCGTTTTAGTTCGCAGCTCTTGCTGCAAGTTGGATTATTTCAGGCTTGCTTATGGGATTCATTGCAGCTGAAAGATTTATTTTAATGAGAAAAGCTTTGCAACCAAATGAAGCCTCCCGGGAAATGCATACCCTCTGGTGATTCACATGGTTTTGTGTTACATTGCTCTTTTCCATCAGCAGGCAGATCTGAAGGCTCCCCTACCCACACCAGACCTTTCCTAGGAAGGGAGAGTGAATACGGGTGGGTATTTATCCCTCTGAGTGTTACAGATTGTTCACACTACTGGCATGACAAGGGCTATTTGAGCAGTTCCAACTAGAAGATAAACGGTGTCAGTGTATGTTGCCCTGAACTGCAGTACCCCTGCCTTCCTCTCTTTTGCTGTTCTTATGCAAAGCTCTTCTGCTTATGGCTTTGCAGGATCCTTGCTACCTTTGTACCTGTCAATTACCACTCTTTACCCCAAGCTGTAGCATTCCCTGCTACTTTTCAGTTCTAGGAATTATCCTTGCTTCTGTTCACGGGTAGATACTTTCTCCTTTCCTTTGATCATAGCGGAGTACTATGGGTCCTGTATTTAGAGAAGTTGTTGGTAATCAGCATGGAGTGTTGGCAAATCCTGTGCAGAAGGCCCTGTACTGTAATTTGTGTCTTTGTGTCAACACAGCATTAATCCTGGCATTCCTTTTAATACATATAATTATAGCTATGAAAATGGGGTGGAAGTGGCCACTTCCACTCCGGCTTCCCAGGGTTAATGATTCTCAAAATTGCAATAAGAGGATGGAGGGTACCTCTTGGCATCAGACCTTCTTCCCGATCTGATACTTGCTCAGTTTTTCTCAACTGGTGGTCTTCAATTCAAATTTATTGGGAGATCTTTCAGTGCAGCCTGCAGCCATGGAAAAACAAATGTTCAAATGGAAGAGATCGGGAGGAGGAAACTTCCTGGCAGACACTGCTTGCCCATTATTGTTTTCCACAAGCCAATTAATCTTGTGAACACTGTACTGTCTTTGGGCAGGTTGGTTTTTTTTTCCACCTGAGTCACCAGCATTTCATATCTGAAGTCGGTATTTCATATCACCGTACGTTTCATATCTGAAATCGGTATTTCATTTCTATTTGATATCACCATATATTTCATATGTGAAATAGGGGTGACTCTGGGAACACAGGAGCCTTTCTTCTCCACGCTAGCCTGATCTGTGATGATGATGATGGCAGGTGCAAAGCTCCAGGAAGCAAAAATCCCAGTTGTGTTGGTGCTGGAAGGTTCCTTTCCCTTGCGTGGATGAAGCTGCTTGCTTTGGACAGGATTTGTGGTCAGGGCAGACAGCTGTGGATGCCGCAGTGGGCAGCTGAGGGATGCTCCTTGTTTTGAGAATCAATACGCAAGCTATGTCTGGGAGTGAGGAAGGAGAAAGGAGGAAGGACACTGTTCAGGCCAGCCTTCATGGAAAATCTAGTTAAGAGTTCAGCTCCTGCCTGGGCAAAGTGTTGACACAGCTGCCCTTCCAGGATCTGCTAGGACTAACAAAACTCTGGGAAGAAAGGGCTGACGAGAGATTGCAGGATTAAAGAGTGAGGAAAGGGCAAAGATCTGTGAGACAGCCTCCTGCGTCCCTTTCCTCCTCTCGTTGTGAACCCCAGAGGAGCTGTCTGTCGCGCTCTCCTTCCAGTGGGTGGTTTTCTTTAGGAGCCTGCAGTGGGTTCAGCCTGAGCTTGGCTTCTTTCAGTCAGGAAATAGCCAATTCATGACAGCAGCAACCACAGCAATCCGCATCCATCCCAGAAGTCCTGCGAGAAGCAGCCAGTAACCTCTGCAGTGCCAAAACTGGGAGGCAGAAAGGTGGAAAAGCAACCTGGAATAATTGCAGCCTGGAAGGTTCTGCCTGTGGTTGAGAGAAGCCGAGGGAAGGAGAGGGTGCTGTGTTTCCCATCTGCGCAATGGGAACAGCTTCTTGCCTCCCAGACAGACGTTTTCCAGACTCTGATGCAGCTGAACAAAAGGCTGTCAGATTTGAGCCTTTGGTCTGGCTCCCTGGCCTGACAGAGAGAACAGGAAAGGCTCCTTCCACGAGACTTCTGGCTCAGCAGCAGGCCAGCACCTCGGCTGCTGGAGATCAGCGTCGTCTTTGTTGTGATGCCCGAGGATCTGGCAGCAGTTTTTACATCTAGGGACATGGTGAAGTAGGAGCCGTTGCTGCATGCAGGTGGTTCTAGATTTGGACTAATGCAAATATCTGAGGCTTGCAAAGACAAGCCTGCGCTTTTGCATTAGGGTTGCAGTTGGGCTGGACGTACAGGCTGTTGGCGTAGCTCGGCTGGTGAGTGTGGGAACTTGGCCTGTCAGTGACTGTATCTATCTAATTACCCACAAACTTCCCCACTTCATGTAAATGAGAGTTAAAGTTTGCAGTGAAATTTTGTGGGGTTCTTATCTGAAGATTATTTTAGAACTTTTCCTTAGAAACAAACCAGCAGTTATCTGGAGCTGTTTTGAAGAGTGTGAAGACCTGCTGGAGTCAACAGTAGGGTTTTTTTCATGGTCAGATTATCTAATAATAATAGCTCAAGTGTCTTGGAATTTCTTTGGACGTGTCTGGTTCTGTCTGCTGCTGGAGACAGAATCCTGGACTAGATGAAGTTCTGATCTAACTTAGTCTGGATGTTTCCAAAATTCCCCTTGTTGCAGAGTGTAATTATTTAGATGTTTATTTAGGTTTTTATAATAATTTTAATGCCCTCCTCTTTCCTGAAACTAGCCCTCTGGTGTAGACAAGATCTATCTTCTGGCATACTAGATGGCACAGAAAAATGTCAGACTAACCTAAACCAGTCCAGGGCCTGTTCTAAAGGGTTCAGCCAGCTCCTGACGGCTGTTCCCACCACCTGTGCAGGCTGCTGCCCTCTCCAGGTTAGGCTGATTTCATTCTGTGCCTGGTTAGCCCTGGTGTTTTAAGGAGTCTGTCCCCTCTGAACATCCTGCAGCATCTCCAGAAATCCCCTAAACTGGAAAAACAACGGCAGTCTCTGGTCTGCAGATGCAAACTGAGGCGATCTGAACTTTTAACTGGTCTGTGAGTGTATATACATAAAGGGTGTACGTAGATTTTCTGTTGTGCAGCAGTGTTTTTGGAGTTTAAGAATCTACTGCTTCTTTCTCTGCTGTTTGTCATTAGTTGTTTTCAGTAACTGACTGTGTTAATAGTCCTAATTATTGTGGGATGCAGTGATGTGGGTTCTGTAAACACAGTTAAATACATCAGTACCAGCTTTAGGCACTGGTTGATGGAATTTAAGTCTTTCCCTTGAGCAAAGACTGATGAAAGTTCAGTCACTGCACTGCTGTTGGGGCTGGTGTTATCTGAGGAGCACACAGAGGAGAAGAGCAGCAGTGCACCAGGTCTCTGTGGTTAAGGTTGCTGCAGCATCTTGGCTGTTTGTCTTGGTACCAGTCAAGCAACTGCTAGTATAGTTCTGTTCTTGGGTGAAGGGCTGAAAGCATCAATTCTAAATCTGACCCAGCTTTCTGCGTCAGGGAAACCTGTTCCCCACATTCTGGAGCTTTTAGCTGCATTCTAGGCTCTTTTGCCTGCACTGCCCAAAGCGCCTGTATATTCAGTCTTTGTCATTATTATCCTTTTGCTAAGATAGCTGCTATTAAACCCTTGCTTACAAATCACAGGACAGAGTAAATATTGTTTTCTAGGTTGTCTTCTGAGACTTGAGCTTGAAGTAAAACCATATGAGGAGACAAAGATCAAAAAACCGCTGAAGGGAACAGAATAAATCCAGTCTCAAGCAGACAGCTGGGTGAGTGTCAAACAAAGGAAGGAACAGCTGGATCAAGTAAAGCACAAGGAAAATTAGTTCCATCCCTAGGGGGAGGGAGAAAGATTGTTTCGCGAGCCCAGAGCTGTGTGGGACCAACTTTACCCGATAAAACATTTACATCAAAGTCAGGGGCAGATCAGAAGGTCCCAGAGGGAGGGGAAAGAGAAGAGTGTTCACAGGAATTGTGCAGAAAGCATTAGGGAAAGGAAGGAGGTGGAGTGTGAGTGGAGGGGGAGAGCAGAGTGGGGAGGTGGGGAATTGGAAGTTGTAGGTGGAGTAAGTCTGCAGAATATGAGCTGCTGTCCACAGCTTTCTGGATGTAAATTGATGAGGTCATAGTGTTTTCCAGTTACCAAAAAAAAAAAAAAGTTAAAAAAAAAGCCTTCAACTTGTTTTTCAAGAGAGAGGAAAACACGGAGAAGCTGAAGAAATGGAGCAACTAGCAAAACTCCTTCTGTGGCAGATTTTGCTTCAGCAAAGTAAGCTCCTAGCTGATCGGTGTGGTGTTACTTGTTTTTATTTCAGCTGCAGAGGATGGGGCTGGAGGTTAGCTAGAAGATTTTGAACTGTTATCGGTGTAAGATTTTGTTCAGTTTCCTAAGTTAGCTGTGTTTTCGTCTGTGAGGGGAGGGAATCATGGATTTCTCATGCTTTTTGGAGAGGAAAGGGGAGAGAATGGAGAAATATTTGAGGTTGTTTAAGCGGTTCTCCATTCAGGATGTTTGTGCAATCTATTTTTTTTCCTATCAGTTACCTTGATCAGCAAATTCCAAACCAATAAGCTTAAATGTGAGTACAGTAAAGCTTGCATAGTTAGATTCACATGATCCAAGGTTATTTTATACTTTTGAAGAGGCAGAAACAGTTGGGGGGTGTGTGTGTGAGTGTGTTCAGGATGGAGAGAAAACTTAAAGTGGTGTTTGGAATTTTTTTGCCTGTCAGCATAAAGACAGAGACATAGGAATTCACTTTTGGGTAAGGTGCAAGAATAGGATGAGAACAGGTCTGATGAGCTTACAATGACAGAATGGCTTATACCTTTTCCTTAATCACAGAGTTTTCTGTAAGAGCTGAAAGCAGATTCAGGGTCCTGAGAGCCTGGACTCTGCTAAACAGAGAAGCCCCAGGAAGGCTTGGATGGCAGGAGAAGATTTGAGGATTAACTGCAAAACCCCAGCAAATTGCAACACTTTGGGCTCTAAGGAAGGCACCTATGAGCAAGGACCAGTTACAGCTCTAAGAACAGTAGGAAGTGAGGGGCACAAGGTTTTTTGGGACTAGTGACCCCCCGTGCTCTTCACAGCCATGTTGATGAAGGGCTGTGGCTAGCCACCTGAGCCTCTCTAAATTCCTCAGTGCATAGATGGAGTAAGCTGAGGAGTTCTCAGTTTGGTCCCTAATTAATCTAGTTTCCATGTCACCACATCATCGCCAGTTTTACAATGCCTCAAGGCAAGGTTTAGGACCTGGCGACGTATGGGATCAGTCATAGGGACAGCAAGGTTAAAGTGGATCAGAAAACTGGCGTGTGGGGCTGGGCTAAGCCTGGAGAAGGAAGAGAGGCCACAAATTGTATTTCAGAAGCAGCAACCAGTCTGGCTGCTCCCCAGTGTGGTTTAGCATGTTGGCAGAGCCTGGGGAGCACCGAGGGCTGGAATAGCAGGTTGGGTTGCTGTAGAGCGCTGAGGGAGCTGCATAGTGTCCCGCCTAAGGAGGGGTGATCTCTGACAGGCTTTTTTCAGGTGTATTTCGGAGAGATAACTGTATGCCAGGCAGCCCTGATGTTTGAGTCCTGCTATTCCCACGGAAATCGGGTTATAACATAATGAGTGAAGATGGGAAGGGGAGAGGGGAGGAAATCTGTGCCGTTCTGTATTTGCCGAGATGATCCCGTCTGGAGAGGAACCACACCCTCAAGTGTTAATGTCTTGCAGGGAGGAACAGCCCAGTGTTTGGAATGGCTCTGCAAACTATTCTGTGGGCCTGGAGCCAACGTGAAGTACACAGAGCAGAGAAGGATTTATAAAGCTGAGCTAGGATCTGAACTGTCTGTGAGAAAGTTGGGGCAGATCTGTGAGGGATCCTGATTGTGCAGTGGCCAAGATGGCAATTGGTGTCTTGTATCGACAGAAGGCTTTTCCCTTTCTGCCGAGGTGGCACATTCTTGCTCTTTGCGGATTCCTGGACGTGTTCCTACCTGCAGTGAGGTGTTGGAATTGTTGGGACTGGGCGGGTAGTTAAAGGCTCTCTGACAACTTTTTTGAAAGCAGAAGACTCTGCTGTTGAGGAAGTTTTCCCAGGAAGCCTTTAAAAATAAACAAACACAGAGACTTAGATAAAAGCACAGTTCAAAGCCCGGCTTGGCCATCAGTTGGTAAGGGAAAACTTTTTTTTACTGGAAAGCTTAGTCTTGCAGTCCTAGGTCAGGAGGGGCAGGGGGATGTCTAGGTGGAACTGTATTGCTCACTCTCTCCCTCCTTTGCCTCTTGGAGATGGGCCCAGGTGTTGTTACTGGCCAGTGGGTTTTAAAAACTGATCATGAGAAGAAAGCTGAGCTCATTTGTGTCACTGTCACCTCGCTGTTCCTGCATCACAAGCCATTATGGCCTCTTAGACGCTGGGTCAGCTGCCTGCAGAGTCAGGATGGAGGCACTGCCATTCTCCAAAAGGATTTAGAAATACCTTGGTAGCACAGGCTGCTGTTTTTGCAATAATTGTGTAACAGCTCTACAGAGACCACTAAATCCCCTGCACAGACAATGGGGTTTATGGGAGGAATAAGGAATCTGACACATACAGGCTTTGGGAAGAAGCCCTTGCGCTAGGACTAGACCATCCTCTGTGCCCCCAATGTAAAGGTGATGTCTCTTCCTTTTGCAAAAGAAAAAAAGAAACTGAGACAGACCAGGAGATACTGGAGGAGGTGCGCAAAGGAATAATGCGCTGAGCTCACTTAGGCAAGTGGAGTGTCACCCTCACAGACCCACACACCTGGTGAGCTATGACAGTCATTTCTCCAGTGATTTCTTTGATTTCTTTCCTGCCCACCACAACAAGCTGGACTTCAGTGGAGCTTCTTGCTTTGTACGGATGGCACTGTTTGGGCAGCGCATCCTCACTGCTGACACCGATGGCAAGGCTCTTCCTGAGTGCAGGAGAAGCACTGCAGGTAGTGCTGGTGTTGTCATGTCCTGTGGAGCATATATGCCACTTGGCACTCAGGCTACCAATTACGGTGTTTGCAGTTTACTTTTCTGTTCTGGTAGTCTTGCATCCTCCAGTATGAGACAGGAACTTAGTGGTTTCACTGGCACGTGCACCTACCTGTGAAGCAGACCCTCTGCCAGCAGCTATCTCCAGGAGGAGAGGTGGTATTGTTCAGGCAGGACTCAAGAGACAGTTTTCTGTTTGAACTGTTCCAAGAGAGCTCTGGGTATGTTAGATGTCTTTCAGAGCCTGAGGCTTTTACTTCTAGTTTGCCTGAAGTTCTTGCGGCTTAAATCTTTACTTGAAAAGTGGATGGGATTCAAGAAGTAAGGGCTGGCTCTGCCTTTTACAAGGGATTAGGAAACACTTTTGCAGGCTGCTTTCCTCTTCCTATATTGTGGGACCAGCAGAATACCTCTGGGATCCTGTGGAGGGGCATGCTGAGTCTGCACAGAACGTCAGGGGACGGCAGATGGATTTTTTTTTTTTTGTGGGTACGTCACACAGAGAGGACAAAGGGACTATCCATCCCATGGAATTTGAAATTTTAAAAGGAAAGCTGCAGTGAGTTCTGTGTTGATGACTATTAAGGTATTTGGTGGTTTTGAAGCTCCAGGTCCTGGAGTCCTGTGATTACACAAGTCTGAGCCTTCACTAGGGGCATGAATACTCCTTGGTTTTACACCTGCAGGTTGGGAAGTGTGACTCACCAACTTAACTGCTTCCAGTTTACCCCAGTCCTGTAGTTCATAGGCTCTCAGCTTTGGCAGGTTATGGATATATCATAGAATTGTAGAACAGTTTGAAAGGGACCTTCGAGGTCATCCAGTCCCACCCCCTGCCATGGACAGGGACACCTCCCACTAGCCCAGGTTGCTCAAAGTCTCGTCCAGCCTGGCCTTGAACCCCTCCAGGGATGTGTTCCAACCCAAAGCTTCTGTCGAGAATCTGTGAGTGTGCACAGACAGGCAGTGAGAAACCCTTTCCCTTCCATGTCTCGTCTCTGTGCTGAACTCTAACACAATACTTTACTATGCCATCATCCTGGGTGGCTTTTGTTCTCGTGGATCATGTCACTGCAACCCTGGGCCATTCAGCTTTGTGTGGCAACACTCAGCAAGTCAAAATCACAGTGTGGTAAAATGCAGGCAAGGCATCAACAGCCTCTCTGGCCTTTTCCCACCAGGAAGCAACATCTCCTGGGCACTGAGGGGCAGACCCAGAAAGACCCTGGAGTGGAATTATCAAGTAAGCAAGAGTGCTGCTGCTCTGCTGCTTCGGGGGCTGCGAGCAGAAGCTTTACAGCGGAGGGAAGAAGAAGCTGTCAAAACCCACAAGACAACTCTGGTACAACTGGTACATCACAGACACCTTCACCGCTTCCTTGTTTTACAGAGAGCACTGTTTGGAAGTGTGCTGGAGAAATGCGTGTAGCTGCTGACAGGGCTCCAGCAGCCAGCCTGGCAAAATGTCCCCGTGGGTGGGATGGAGTTGGGACCTGGGTGGTCCTCACCATGCCAGCAGGGCCAGCTCAAAGATACAGAACGAGGGGTTAGTGCGATGAGTAGTTTGGGCTGCAACAGGCTGCTGAGCGGAGCACATTGGAAGGCTTAGGTGGATACTTCTGTCCTTTGTTAGATTTATGATGCTGCGTTTGGGCTCCATGTTTTTTACATTAACTTGCAAAGAGGAAAGGAGGAAAGTAAATGCATTCCTCTCGCTGAGCCAGGAGAGGATGTTTCTGTAGCACCAAATCAATTTGCTGTGAATGAGCAGCAATGCAGGGCTCTGGAAGCACTGGCTGTGCCGCCAGCCAGCGCGCCGACACCACTCCTTTTTTGCGATACTGTGATGTTCCCTTGCTAAGGGCAAACAACGCTGATTCACCCACACGGACGTTGCTTTGTCACACCGAGACAAGTGGATGCTGTTGTGCTGAGAGCTGGTTGTCCTGCTGCAACTGAGACCGATTTCTCCTGATTTGGTGCTGTAGGAGAGCTTTGTTTCATTTGTTGTCCTAAGCTGAGTCTAAGTCCTGGCTTCCAGAGACAGAGGCTGGCAACTTGTCATATTTTACCATCAGGCGCTTTGCAGCCTATTAGGAGAGAGCATCAAGTGATGGAATTGTGATGGCTTGTGTATGGTGTCTCTTATATCCAGAGCAGTACAGGCTTTGTGCAAGATTTTTTTTTTTTTTTGCTTTGTGATGCTGAGATTATAAATGTAGAAAAAATAACTTATATTTAGAGTGTCTGAACTGGCAGTTCAACAGACGGTGCTGCTCATTTTTGTTCTCTGTTGTCACTGCCCAGTGTTTTGTGATAGGAGGAGGAGAGGAAGCAGAGTTTATTCTCAGCGCATGCACTGGGGGTGTGGTTAAAATAGCCCCAGCCTGGAGTTAATTTATTCTCTTTTGAAATGCATAAATTCCAGGGCTGAAAAAAAAATACAGCCTTTGTCTGGAGGACATTGTGCGTATGACATTAGCAGGACAAAACATCTAATGATCTCGCTGGAACCCACTTGGGCTGGACTGGTTAGAGATGAATGATGTCATTGTGCTGGGAATCTGAATCGTGCCCTAAAAGTGTGATGCCAGGAGACCTCCTAGACCCCTCCTACACAAAAAGCAGGAGGGGCTGGACCAGAGAAATGCAGAAACAAAGGCATTGGTTCATTTCTTGTGAAGATCTGCACAGATCTGAGTCACATGAGTTGCGGAGAGTTGCAGTTGCATCCAGAGCATCGCAGTGTTAACTTTTTTTTTGAGCGGGACGCGGGGGGCATGCTCCCCAGTCAGGATGTGTTTGCTCAGCAGAGTGCTGACAGCAGTGTGTGTCAGGAGCTGGGCTCAGCTCTGTCTCTCAAGTCTGTCCCGGCCTTTGCCTTAGCAGGGAAAGTTGACTGAGATGTGGGTGTCTGCTGGGGAAGAGATGGAAAAGAAACTGTGGCATTCATTTCACGGTGGTCAAACAGCACAAAAATGAGCATGGTTTTAACTGGTCACAGCTGGGTAGTACCTCTCTACTCCACTCTGGTGACACCCCACCTGTACTGTGTCCAGCTCTGGAGTCCTCAGGACACAGACCTGTTGGAGCAGATCCAGAGGAGGGCTACAAAAAGGATCAGAGGGCTGGAGCACCTCTCCTGTGAGGAGAGGCTGAGAACGTTGAGGTTGTTCAGCCTGGAGAAGAGCAGGCTCTGGGGACACCTGCAGCATGGACCAGCCAAGGTCTGAACCTCTGGGCTTAACCAAAAAACATGTTAAATAAGTACATTATTTACACAGAGAAGGGAGGAATGGATGGGATAATAACACAGGAGGTGGCTACTGACTATGAGTGTGTTTGTAGTTTTTTCTTCCTTTTGTTGTGAGTAACATTTTTTTTTTTTTTCTGTTTTGACAGGTTCTGTTGATTTATATTCAGGTGAGTGACATCTTTGCAATCTGCCTGTTTTTGTGATCAGGAGAAATGACAGAGACCCTGATTCCATGACGTGCAGTGGGGGTTTCATTGCTGACTTCCACAGGTGTGAACCGTGCATCCCATCAACTAAACTTTGATTAAACGGGGGGTTAGGTTTAGGAAGGATAGGTAGGACAGGTCAAATCTACAACCCTGATAACAGACATTGCAGACTGCTTTTACTGCAGGAAATCAGCATTTTTGTGTGGCTTTCTGTTGTATTTCTCAATGAGAGAGCTCTGTGTTGGTCCTGAAAGTTACTTTCTTCTGGGTGGAAGGTGTGCAGAGATTCTAGGACAGGTCTGAGTCCTTCTCCCGTGTCTTCTTCACATGCCATTAATCTGATAACTCTGTTTTTTGTTCTTTGCTCCTGCCTCTCAGTCCCAGCTGATGCCTCAAACCCAGCCAGTGTTGTAGTGTCCGTGTTAAATATCAGCGCTACGCTGGGGTCGCAGGCTGTCCTGCCCTGCAAGAGTTACCGCATGGTGTGGACACAGGATCGTCTGAACGACCGCCAGCGTGTAGTCCACTGGGATGTATACAGCACCTACTACGGGGATAACAAGATGGAGAGGCTCTGTGACATGTACTCAGCTGGAGATCAGCGTGTGTACAGCTCCTACAACCGAGGGAGGATATTCATGCCCCAGAATGCGTTTACAGATGGCAACTTCTCCTTGGTGATCAAAGGTACTGAACTGCATCTTTTCTCCCTATGCTATCTGCAAAATGGAGGATTTGTGACTAAAATAACTTTGTGTTTTTCAGTGAAAATGGCTATTTTACACAGCATTTTCTGTAAATTAATATCAGTCTAATGAGGTTCTCTGAAGCACTGGTAATAGTGTTTTATTTCCCATTGAAAAAGTCCCATTTTAAAAGAGAATTGGTAACAACTCATTGCCTGAAAGTCACTGGGGCTTCTTGTGGACCTTTGACTGTATTTCATGAACTATACACCCAAGATTTTCATTCTTCCTACGCCTGCTCTTAGCTAAACTTAAATTGGCTTTGTCTTTCCATGTGTTAATACAAATACATTCCCCACATGAGCAAATTGAACATATTACTGTATTAGGTGAGATGATTCTTCTCTGTTTAGCCCACCCTGGTGATAAGGATGGGTTAGAACTGAGTTATATAAAGGTCCTTTTGCATCCATACAAGCATTTGTGAAACAGTATAAATGACAAAAGTAATTATTGTCTCAACATAAAACATTCAATTTCCCCTCTCTTCCCTGTTGTACTAGATGTTGCAGAGAGTGATGAAGGCACATATTCTTGTAATCTTCACCATCACTACTGCCACTTATATGAAACTGTGAAAATCCAACTAGCTATCACCAAGAAAGGTAGGTGTGGCGGGCAGTTTGGTGTTCCTTTCTGCAAGGGACTGGAGTCCAGTGGCCACCGGGGCTGTTGAATTCACAGTGGGGTTTGCACGCTGTTCTGCTAGTGTAGGAGAAGAGCTCTGTGGATGCAGGGCATGGCCATGCCTCCTCAGGTGCAGGTTCAGGGCACAGATGCCCCAAGAGGCTTGGAAGGCATCAGGAGACAGCGGTGCTCACTATGCTGTTTGCTGTCAGATTCCCTGAATTTCGCAAACTTTATTCAATGTGTGTTATTTATGAACCTCTCTCCTTTCTTGGCATGTGCCAAACAATTCGTGGAGCCTGTTAAGTTAAACATTTACTCTAGGCAGCCCAGCTGGCTGGAACATCCCTGCTAACAATCCGTCATCAGTCAGGTTAGCCACAGAGATCTGCCTGGTACATGGGCTGGTGAGCTGACCCGCAGAAGCCTGTAGTTAAAAAGCCTCCCCAAGTTACCACACCTTAACTCCAGCTCTAAAAGCAGCCTTCGAAGGGCTGTTGGCAACTGCAGTGTGTGCCACCCACACCGCACATGCAGTACTACCGTATCATTTAAATCGACCTTTGTATAACGCATGAGTGAAGCTACTGGGGCTGGTTGTGCTGGGAAGCTGTTGAGGGGCTGATGGGTCAGTAGAGAAGTTCCTCTGCTGCTGCTGTTCTCACAGCTTCCATGCAATAAAAACACCCTGGCAGGCAAGTGAGCCCCAATCTGCTCATCTGTGTTTTGGTTCGTCTGTTATTCCTTTTCAAGAACGAAATACAAAACAGTGCTTCTTGAACTCCTCCAGTAATTAGGGCATTTGTGGGTAGGAAAGCATTTCCTGCTTGGAGAATTGGGATACAGCATATTGAAGATGAAATCTGTTGTTCTCGTTCCATTCTTAGTCTGTAGAAAGAATATACTTCCTGCTTTCTGAAGCAAGAGATTAACTCTCAGTTATACGGAAAAGAAAGTGGTCTCGCTTAATGCGCTGACCTCGGATGTAGGAGATAACGGTGCATTTCTTTACGAACTGCTGCAGTAAGTGTGAACAAAGCACACCACCCCTGTGGCACTTCGAGATCTCTGGAGGGGGGATGTGTTACAGGATTTCAGGGTCTGAGAGCAATCTCAGGTGTGCCTGGGGGTCCTTAGCATAGGACAAGTACGTACGGATGCACATTGTACAACTTGTATTTTCTCCTCCGTAGCTGAGGATGCCAATGAGTACTGGGATGGGGAAAAGCCCGTGATTGTTGCCCTGGAAGGCAGCACAGTGACTCTCCCCTGTGTGAACCGTAACCACATCTGGACCGAACGGCATAGTGAAGAGGAACAACAAGTGGTCCACTGGGACAGACAGCCCCCAGGGGTTCCTCACGACCGGGCTGACCGCCTCATTGATCTGTACGCCTCTGGCGAGCGCCGTTCTTACGGACCTCTCTTCATTCGCCAGAAGATGAACATCACGGACACAGCCTTTGCCCTGGGTGACTTCTCCCTGAGGATTTCACAGCTGGAAAGTGCAGATGAAGGCACTTACTCCTGCCACCTGCACCATCACTACTGTGGCCTGCACGAACGCAGGATCTACCAAGTCTTTGTGACGGAGCCAGAGAAGAAAGTGGTGAACCTCACAACTCACAACATTGCCCCAGCCATAGGTGAGTGGCCTCTGGAAGTGGTTCTCCTGACTGAGGAAAAGTATCTACAGCTGCACCTTTGAGCCCTAAAGAGCTCAGTAAGCCACAGGACAGGAATATGACACATTATTCCCCATCATCGTCATCACTGAGGTTTCCTCCATGAAGGTTTCTCGAAGTTGAGCCAGGCGCTATTCCTGCCCTGAGGGATAGGAGAGCAGATGAGGTCTTGCCTCCCTCCCTGCTAGCATATGGCTCGAGCGTATGGGTTTGGTTGTTTCAGAGCTATTTCCATTACTCTGGTATCCCCTACATGCGTCGTGATACTAGTGAGGATCCCGTAGAGCAGCCGTGACACTGTGCTGCACCCAACGCAGGGTGTCCCACTCATCAGGGTTAATTACCCTGCCTGCAGTGCTGGAGTGACATCATGGCCAGCTCCTGGTTAATTTGCTCCAGGGCAGTTCTGCAGCCCTGCCCTGAGGCAAATGAGCTGTTTTTCTAACAGGCTCCCTTTCCTGGTTGCTGTCATGGAACAGGAGAAGGTGTGGGGAAGGGGTTGATTCTGCTCTGCCTTTGCTGTTACAACATGCCACTGTTCTCACCGCTGCGGATCGCAGGTGTTTCTCTCCCCTTTGCACGGGGGTTTAGGCTGTGCAGGATGCCAGACCATGCAGAATCAAGCAGGAGGAATTTTCCTCCACCCTTCAGCTTTTCTTTTTTTGTCTTAAACCAATTTTCACATTTTCCTCAGCAGTGAGCTATCATCTGACAGCCTGTCCAAACTCAAAACCATCATGCTTAGTTCAGGCAGAAAAATAAAATAAAAAACCTAAGTTTAATATTTTTTAAGTCTTTTGGGTATAACTCCTTATTAATGTTTTAAAATATTCATTGTGGTTTAATATTTATTGGCTGCTTAATACAGAATTTTGACATGCTTCATACATTTTTAAATAGGTCTATTCTTCTCTAGCATTTGGCTTTTTCAAGTCACAGAAACCTAACCCCCCCCCCAGGACTAAGTGTCCACAAAACCCAGGCAGTACTAGAGGGAGGTGGCTGTTGGGGCTGAGGTGACACGGAGGCCAGGACGTGCAAATATCAGTCTCCCTGCCTGCAGCCCTTTTGCTGCCCTTGAGCACCATCCAGATCCTGTTGTGCAGATGGAAACTAGATCTTGTTTTCAGAGCTGCCCACCCAGGAATTTATTCCTCTCTTTCCTGGATGTTGTACTGGTTGTTGCTGAATAATTACCTACCTGCTCAGAAGTTAGACAGAACTTGTAAGTAATTTAACCTGCCAGGGCTGTCTCAGTTTGGCAGTACACCCTCAGTGCTGCAGGAGCTTGCATTCCTGAGAAAAGCCATTTCCACTGTCAAAAAGAACAGCCTTAGGAGAGCTCTGTCCCCTGTGGGCAGTGAAGGCTCAGCTGGTCTGAGAGCACCACACACAAAAATGTGCTGAGTTGATGGGAATACGAAAGAAGCTGAGACATCTGGTGTGCCTTTTTCAAACCCGCTGCTGATGAGGAGCCTGCTGGGACATGCCCTATTTGTGTATGGCAGGAAAGGCTGAGATCTTGCCCCGTTCCATGAAAAAATATATAGACCTCTTCTGGGGATGTAACGTAAAGCCAAAATGAAACATCAGGAGATAACAAAAGCAAAGCAATGAGGTTTTTCAGCAAGCAGCTATAGTTTCTGGCATAATTCCAAGGCCTGGAGCCATTTCTAGGCAGGAAACTTCATCCTGTTTTGAATATAAGCGTGAGCTCAATTCTGCTCTTGGTCTCAGCACTGTAAACGTGGTGTGTGTGGACTAATTCAGTGCAGTTTTTACTCTGCGTTTGCTTTGGAGCAAGTGACTGAAGAATGGCATCTGTTGTGTCTCATGCTTATTGCCAAACTATTCTCAATCCCTTGCCAGCCTTGAAAACAAAAAATGGGCCACATCCCCAGCATTTGTGAGCCCTCTTGGAGGAGACCGCTCCATTTCTCCCAGCAGAAGCATCTGACCCTTGATGCTTTGGTAAAGTAACGTAAAGGCACCTCTGTTCTAACTTTTCTCCCCCATTGTTGAAACTTATTTGTAGTAGTTAAACCAGATGACGTGAGGGGATGGGAGGCAGATGGGCATGCCACGTTGAGACATGCTGAAAGATCAGATCTAGGTTACAGAATGAACCTTCATCACCTCAGATTAAATTCTGATACAACACTCGGAGGAGGAGGGTCTGTATGACCTTGGTGATACTATTCTAGGTGCTGCTGTTCATCTGTTGGGTGCGATTGAGTCGTTACTCTGTGCCTCAGTTTCCCCAGTTATAAAATGGGAACTATTCTGCTGCCTTCCTGGTGATGCACTTTGAAGTCCATCAGCGATGCTTTGTCAAAACACTAGTTGTATTTTTAGCGTTACTTCACTGAGTAAGCCAAGGAGACCCAAAGATACTGAACCTCTGTTTCCACTGTTTGTTGTTAGTGACCTCTCCAGTTATGACTAAAGTTTAACCCTGCTCCTACCCTATCTTGCAGTATTGTGGGAAAGCAAAAAGCCAGGAGTGGAATGCATTTGTTTGCTGACTTCTGGCTCAACAGCTGTTCCAGTGGCTACCGTCTCATTATGGCAGCTGCTGAAAGCAGCCCTTCGTGATCCAGAGATGTGTTCGAGTAGAACTGTCACGTGTACTGTTTGCAGATTTGCAAGTGGGTTTTTTGGTTTGGTATTTTTTAGTTTAGCAGTGGTGAAAAGCACATGCTAGTTTTCAGCTGTATACCCAGCAAGCACATGGCATCTAGCAGTGCCTGTAAAAAGTGGAGTGCTGCTGGTGGGAGGGCTGGGCTACCCGAACAGAGCGTATGCTGAAACCTCTGGATTTTCCAGGACTGCTGTTAGCATTAGCAAACGACCATCTCTGGTTTCAAAGTGTTTATTTCAATCCACTATGGTCTTATGGATTTTATTGTTGGTGGGTTGGTGTTTTTAAATGCTGGAAACAAACTACCCGACAAACTGGAACCAGTCATTATGCCAGCAGTGCCAGAAATGTCAACATCTCTCGCATTAGAACACATCTGTTAAATGGTACTGTGGCTTTTGGGACATTTTCCTCCATCTTTCCCCCTATTCCCTGTGAGTAATTTACAGGATTAAACTCCCAAGAGACTGGTAGGCCAGAACTCTGTGCTGGTTCTCGCCTGGTGCTCTGTGAATGTTCCCTGTGAGGGGCAGAATGTGTCACTTTTAGTGCTGGTTTGGAAAAAAAAAAAAAGCCTCCCCCAGCACAGTGTGTCTTTTGCTGTCTGTGCCTGGGCTGGATTTGTCTGCTCCTCTGACTATTGCAAGCAAAGAAGTTGCTTCCTCTTTCTATGTGTAAAACATTGACCTATTTATTTGAGATTTACAAAAATGTTCCATATGAAAGTTTTGGGTTTCTCTTCTGTGTGCTGCAGAACTGAAACGCTGCTGCACCCACAGAGGGAATGGAATCTTGGCTTTTCTTTGTGGGTTTTTATTTTATTTATTCTATTGATTTTTGTTTTATTTAAAAGGAAACTCATTCTTTGGCATTGAAAATTCCTCCCACTCTGTAAATTATAACCCTTGGCAGGGAGGGGCTGCTTCATACTTGAGCTGTCTGGAGCCGAAGCACCGCGGTGCGTGTGTTGTCAGGGACCCAGAGGAGGGTTGTGTTACCCTGCAGAAAGCCTTGGGGCTGTCTAGCGTGGCTTTTTTCTGGACTTTCCCTCTGCAATAAACAAGAACACACCGAGAGCCAGGCAGCAGCAAGGGAATGTGCAGCAGTCACTGTTAATACTTCATGCTTCTGGGAAGTATAATTGTCCTGTGAAGAGCCCAGGCATCCTCCATCTGACAAAGGTGCTGGATATTGTACCTTTGACAGCCCTTTGCCCTTCATGAAGTTCAGAAGAGTTTCTCACTGAACATGCTTTTTGGGTCATGTGTGAACGTGCTTTGCTTTGGATGCCAGTTAAAATGATCATCCTGTTTTCCTTTTCCTCTGCCATCAGATCCAAATGTTGTCCGGGGACACAATGTGATAAATGTCATCATCCCTGAGGGCCGGGTGCACTTCTTCCAGCAGCTGGGCTACATCCTGGCGACTCTGCTGCTCTTCATTGTCCTCCTCATCATCGTTGTCCTCATCACCCGCAAGCGCCGACAGAGAGGTACGTGTTAGAAAAGCCCGGCCCTGTGGTGTTTGTAGGGGTATCTCACATCAGGAGAGCTGATTTGGCAAATAACGACGGCAAAGCGCAATGCTGAAGGCAGCGATCCTCTTCTGGAAAACCAGCAGCCTGTGCAGCGGGGAGACTTTGCAGGTGCTGATGCCAAGAGAGATTCATTAGCAGGGTGTAAAAATGTCCAGGTCTTGATTTGCTGAGTTGCTCTGATGTAAGGGAGAAGAAAATTAGAACTGCTAGGTAGTTGCTCTTTACAAATGGAATTTATTTAGAGCAGAAGGTCCACGTGCATCCCTTAGGAACTGAGATGTCCGAGTCCTTGCTGGACTGGTGACTCTCTGTGTAATTAGATAAATGGACACAGAGATCTTTTGGTGACTTCCACACACAGAAAGCAAATACCAGGGAATGTCTGTCTTCTGGTGTGTCCTTTGCAGTACCACCTTCATCCTTATTTACCTGTCAGGGGATTAGCCCCGACACAAAATGGGGCTGTCTCGACTAACTGGAGTTCCTCTGCAAGCAGAGGGGACAGCTCCCTGGGGCAGGGGGACACTCCTGAATTCCTGTGTGTCGGAGGGATTGTAAAGGTGATCATTGTAAGCATCACAGTGAGGAGCACGGTGAATGAGTACGAGGTGTTGTTGTTGTCACTGTTATTTGGGAGGGGTTGGTTGGATACGACGGCTCATTCTGTTTCTTCCCCCTGTTTAGGTTATGAATACAACGTGAAGAAATATGGAGAGTAAGTATAATTACAGGGTCTGTTATCTAGAATTAGAATACATAAAAATTAATTTATGGGCTCTAAGAGCCTAAACCAGCTGAAGATCTGGTTAGTATGAGTACAGCCATGTAGAGCGAAGGCTGTTTGGTAGAGTTTATTCATTGCTTTCCACCAATTCTTTTGCAGCTTTACACTCTAGTGTAAATCACTTGCATAGTGATTGCATCTCGTAGTTTGGGCACTGATTCACAGATCACGTGTCTGTGAGATGTCATTAGGCATTAGAGGCAAAGGGGTAATGCACAGATCTACTGTAAACCCTACTGTCAGATGGGGCCAAGGTTGTGTAGATGGGTTCCTTTATGTTTTATGCTTTATGTTTATATTTAATGTTGATTAATAGAGAATGAAATAATTGGAGTTTTTTTCAACTTTTCTCTAGATATATAGCAAATAAACACTGTCGTTTAAGTCCTCTAAAGTAGCATTAGAAAAGCTATTGTGAAAAAGTGTGAAAGGAGCCAGTTATTAAAGGATGTGACAAAACCATTTTTCACTGTTACTCCTTTTTCAGGAAGGATGTAAATCTTAAAGAATTTACAGTCGACACAACAGATCTGACTCAGTGCAGAAGTGAAGACATCAGGCTGGGTATGTATCAGCTAGCAACCATTCCCCAAGCCAGGTCAAAGCTCGTTATAACTGAAGATGTTCTAATGGCATTTAGATGCCCATTTTGAAATGAATTAACCTCCTGATTTTAAATGGAAACTTTGAGAATCTCAACCCCCAAGTCAGTGCAAGCAGGAGAGGGCAGTCCTGACTTTTGAGGTTAATTAGAGGCTGATTGATGAGGTTGGTCAGTAATGAGGTGCAACTTCTTTTGTTTCACTTGGAGTTTTGGGGTTCTTTGACATGCACCTGAAAGCCAAATTCAAGTGAGTGCAAAACAGTGTGGAATGAGGTCAAGACAGCATCTAGGAGAGAGGATTCTTCAAATTTAAGGATGTAGGGAAGAAGGTCAACAAGGCAGTTCTCTAGAATCTCTTGTCCAAGAAACTAAAAGCATTTGTCAACATGAATATCATAATTCTGCAGTACATAAAAATTAGCTCAAAGTGAGTGCTCTGGAGGAAAAAAAATTAGCCTAGAGTACTTCAAGGAAGGACCAATCATGTCCAGCTTGCCTGTAAAGCCTTGTTTTCTTTTAATGTTCTAATGGCTCTCTGAATTATACTCCTCCCTTCCACAGATTACAAAAACAACATCCTGAAGGAGAAGGCTGAGCAAGCCAGAAGCTTCCCAGCAAAGAACATTGATTTAGACAAAGGTAATAATGACCTGCTTCACCCTAATTGGTGGCTGTAGGAACCTTTGGGTGGGTTGGAGGAGGGAAGAACACAGTTTAGCAGTGAACTGACCAAGCCACAGCCGCATGAGGAATGATAAACACCATGACTTTTTTAATGAGAAGCTAGATCCATTCCTATCCTTTCATCATGAAGCCACAAGATGCAAGTAGTGATTAGGCTTTTAAAAACTTTTGGCGTGGCACAAATAGCATTTTTCTTTATTGGAAAAAGAATGCCTTGCAGGGCTGGAATAGTGCATTCTGTACTGTAATCTCAGAGGGAGATGTGTCTCAAAAATGTCCTGGCATGGTGTTTGAGAAGAAAACACTGTGCAGAAGAGAGTGTTTTGAGTTGAATTAATTTATGGGTAATGGGCAGTCACTTACTTCATCCAACAAAAGTAAACAACTCTCCCTCCCTAGGGGCTGAATCTCCTTTTGTTTATCCAGTATTAATCCCGAGTATGATACCTCAGTTTGTAGAGTTGAGCCGTGCTTGTAAGAAGTTGTTAAGTTCCATGACTCCTTTCATATGAATTTAGAATGTAATGAATGTGACTGAAATGATATCAAGAAGGGAATGGTCTGGAGAGTCCATGGGTTGCCTTAGAGCTCCTGTTCTTGATGGAGTTCTCATGATATTTTTGCCTACATTCTGCAGAGGTGGTCTGTGCAATAGTTTATACAATGTATACCTCACTGTGGGCAGTGTGAAGAGGATACTGGGGACATGGTTGACTGCAAATGGTCACTTGTCACTGTATAGTCCATATAACAGTGTGCTGCTTCGGATTGTTTGAACTCTCTCTTCAGGTACTGACCTCCATTTCCATTTCCTTTCAGATTTCAGGAAGGAATACTGTAAATGAAGACATTCCCAAGCTGCTGGCTGGACCAGAAGCTTCAATCAAAGATAGATAGATGGAAAAGAGATGCCTTTTCTTAATATCATGTCCCTTAAGTTACCATAGATTTTTTTTTTTCACGTAGACTTTCTCTCCACTAAGCACAAGGGTATTTGCAAGTGCTTCTTGAAAGAGTTAGACCATCTGTCTTGTATGCCCTTATGATGGGTTTGGGTTGCCTTTTCTTCTTCTGTTTTCCCAGTCCTCCATTCCCCTTTTCTTTCTAGATATTATTGTTGGTTTTATGCATCAATGATTTTTATGAGCTGAATCAGCAGACCTTTGCTTTGATGTTACTGCTTGAAATAAACCAACCTGCATCACTAATCTTGAGCCATCATTATATCAGGCATTTTTCCATGTAGTGTATTCATGAGATAAATAATAGCAAAGCCTGATTCTCATCTCTCATAGGCTGGTGTAAATCAGGATGAGCAGTATTGTCACATAGCACTTTACATATTTCAGGTGAAGTACAAGTACAGCCCTTCACCAAGGACGATGTAAATACCTCATTTTGTGAACGGGGAACCGTCAATATCCTCATTTACAGGGAAAGGGAGGCACACAAATGACCAAGGGTAGGGTTGGGATCAGCTCCAAAGAGCTCTGGAAGCCTGACTCTGTATTTCTCACTCTAAGCATGTTTGTTGATTTGTTTTTGTTTCAGTGCAGACCAAATCAAATTTGGCATGAGCAGACACTTTCAGCTGAAGCTGATGGAGTTACAGTGCTGTAATACCAGGCTCAGTTAGATCAGAAACAGAAATATTATGGAGAGGGCTAAACTCCTGTGTGGAACCTAGAATGTGATTTTCCTGCAGTCCTTGGGTGGATCCAGGCCACACAGAGCTTGTGTGCACATCAAAACAAAGGTATGATTACAGCACAGGGAGACAGATGGTTAAAAGAAAGAACTTCTCATGGGCAGACCATGATGAACAAGAGTAACACCACGCTCCACTAAATAGCCTATCAGGAATTTTCGTGGGTCAGGGTCTCAGAAGCGGAGTTGAGGAGGGAGACAAGTCCATTGTTGTGCATTTTGGCATTGTTTTGGGGAGCTTCCCCCGAGATAGTGGGCTGAAGGGGAGTTCTGCATATGAACAGTATGTCAGATGGGGATGTCCAACAATTGGAGGTAATTCAGTGTTGTAATCCAAGCAAGTTAAAGCATCAGGAAAGATGGAGAATATTGACAGTGCCACACATCTCCCCTGGCTACTTGAGATATTCTGTGGCACAATTCCCAAACCAAGCATACCCGTGGTCCTTGGGGCACAGAAGAAAAGGTTTTTCCTACTGTTGTGAGCATGATGATGGTGGTTTGTGTTCTTGTTGTGTAAGGATGAAGGTGGCTGAGGGTTGCCAGCCTACTCGTCAGTCGTCTGGCGAGAATGGCACAGGGAGGGGTTGCACAGGGATAAGGATGAAGGTGGCTGAGGGTTGCCAGCTACTCTTTGGTGGTCTGGAGAGAATGGCAGAGGGAGGGGTTGCACAGGGGCTTTGTGACTGAGTGGAACTGGGCAGGGTCTCCGGGATGTTGCACACGGTCGAAGTGTGAAGAGGAGCTTGTGTGGAACTACTGTGAGGGTGATGGTGGGGTTTCAGCCTTGCTTGCAATTGGTATCTCTGCCTGGATTTCTTCCTGGAGTTGGAGGGTTGCGAGGTCTTTGCAGGTGATGAAGTAGCTGTGGTCCAAGGAAAGCATCTCAGTCTACCAGCTAAACAATTGGGAGTGTGACGTGCTGCCTAGGATGGTACGTGGCTTGGCTGTTGCTTTAGCCACCCTCGCCACTCATCTGGGAACGTGTCAGTGCTGGATAATAGGGGCACAAGTTTGGCCAAACTGGGAAGAGGTGTTGTCATGGCTGGGTGAAGCTGCCCACTGCAGGAGCACGTGTGCTGGAATCGCCCAGTGCTGTTTGAGAGCTGTCCAACGCCATGGGCCTCCTGAGTGTAGGAATCTATGTCCAGTCCCATACCTGCCCCTTTCTTTCTCTCCCTACCAACCTGAGCGTCTTGTCTGACTGATGCCAATGTTCTCAGACATCTCGATCCCATTTCAGACGCTCTCTCCCTCGTCCCACAACCACCACTGATCTCTGCTGTTGTGTGACAGGGCTCAGTAAGACTCTGACCAGCTCAGAGGTATGCTACACTGGGCGGGACAGTTGCCAGGTTGCAACTACTTTCACTGAAGCTGAGCTCAGCTCCCTCACTCTGCCGAAAGCGTGGTGGACAAGGCCTCCTGTGTGCCAGAAGGAACTGGATTGTCTGTTCAGAAGCTAGGACTTCAGTACTTCAATGCACACTTCTTATAGGACTGGAAAATGGACCATGTCAATTTTTATAGATATTTATACTTCTCTCTGTTAACTATGTTAAAGAATAAATATACAGGGGACTGTTATTTTTAATGCCTTAAAATATTAAAAAGATTAATAATAGAATATAAGAGTAGAGGCGAGCCTTCCTCAGCTGCAGCTGGGCAGATCCTTATCTTTTAGTTTGTTTAGCCCTTCCACTGCTCTTTGGGTGGTTTTTATTGTGATTATCTACCTTTATCTTCACCTAAGACTCACCCCTACAAAAATGCTCAGATTGGGCAGATCTGTGACTGGTGGAGAGGAGTCCGCGTTGGGCCCAGGTTCCTGTTTGCCTGCCCTCCCCCGAAGCGGGCAGCCATCCCCCGGCTGCCT